TAGTGCCTAAGGCACTTGACTGCTAACCAGAAGGCTGGCGGTTCAAACCCACCAGCCACTCCTCAGAAGGAAGATTGGGCAATCTACTTCCATAGCAATATCACCTCAGAAACCCAAGGAGGGGTCGCTTTTAGTCAGATCCTACTCAACTCAACACCATTGGATGGGGGAGCAATGAAGGGTACACTATTCAGTCTGTGGTTTGGGGGTAGATGACCAGAACAGGGTGTCAGCTTCAGATTACAGGTAACCAGCAAAAGCAACTTAGGAATCAGAGAAGGCCTCTTTGGCCATGGCCTCTTCAGCCATGACCTTGATCTGTTAGTCAGTGTTAATATGTGGTGGGTGTAGTTCTAAAGTAAATACAGTTGACTGTTGAACAACAGGGGTTTGACCTGTGTGGGTCCACTTATATGTGCATTTTTTTTGAGATAAGAATCTTGGAAAAGTTCAAGAGCTAACAGACACTATACCAGAGGAATTAACAGAAGACAACTTGATGGAGTGCTTCTGAAACAACTCTTCACTTTACCCAGCATGATATATTTCTCCAGCAAATGGTCCCCTCTGACCACATGATAAAACTAAATGAGAGGAAGTGTGGCCATACTCGCTTCCAAAGGTGCATTCCGGCTGTACTTCTTCCGGGACAGATTTGTTCATTCTTCTAGCAGTCCATGGTATCTTCAGTATTCTTCACCAACATCACAATTCAAAGGCATCAACTCTTCTTCCATCTCCCTTATTCATTCCCCAGCTGAGGACATTGTCCAGATGAGGAACAATGAGTAGAAGAAGCAGTATAAGAAAGCAAACAGACATTAGACAATCTGGCAGAAGGGTTCTGATTATTCAAGACTGCTATTTCACTTCTTTGATAACATGGACCCTTCCACGATACAGACACTGAAATTAAAGCAAACAATGGAAGAAGGATTGGTACCATATAGAATCATTTTTAGAAAAATGAAAAAGCAAGAAAGTCAGGATGGAATTACAGTGTATTTCTGAAAAGACACACTGTGTGCCTGCCTCTCCTGCCTCCAGTCTACTTCCTCCACTTCTTCCACCCCTGCCATCCTGAGATAGCACCAAGTACAACTCCTCTTCCTCTTCCTCCTGCTCCTCAGCCTGTTCAATGTGAAGACAATGAGGATGAAGACTTTGATGATGTTCCACTTCCACTTCTATTCAATGAATAGAAAATAATCATCACACCATACCTTTAATAAACTTATTTGCTGTGTATGTGTTTGAGTGTCTTCAAGGAAAAATCTAATAACCATGGCTAGAACTGTGTTAATTAACTGTTTATGCAATCTGTAAAGCTTCTGGTCAAGAGCAGATGACTGTTTTTGTTGTTAGGGGCTGTGGATGCAGCTCCAACTTACATCGACCCTATGTACAACAGAACAAAACACTGCCAGGTCCTGTGCCATCCTTACAATCCTTGCTATGTTTGAGCCCATCGTTGCAGCCACCATGTCAATCCATCTTGTAAAGGTCTTCCCATTTTCAATGATTCTTCACTTTACCCAGCATGATATACTTCTCCAGGGAATGGCCCCTTCTGACCACATGACCAAACAAAGTGAGAGGAAGTGTGGCCATACTCATTGCCAAAGGAGCATTCCACTGTACTTCTTCCAGGACAGATTTGTTCATTCTTCTGACAGTCCATGGTATCTTCAGTGTTCTTCACCAACACCACAATTCAAAGGCATCAACTCTTCTTCAGTCTCCCTTATTCAGTGTTCAGCTTTCACATGCATACAAAGCTATTTAAAATACCATGGCTTGGGTTAGGCACACCTTCGTCTTCAAAGAGACATCTTTGCTCTTCAACACTTTAAAGAAGTCTTTTGCAGCAGATTTGCCCAGTGCAATATGGCATCTGATTTCTTGACTGATATTTCCATGAGTACTGATTATGAATCCAAGTAAAATGAAATCTTTGGCAACCTCAATCTTTTCTCCTTTTATCATGATGCTGCTTATTGATCCAGTTGGGAGAATTTTTGTTTTCTTTACGTTGAGGTGTAATCCATAGTGCAGACCTAGTCTTTAATCTTCATCAGTAAGTGCTTCAAGTCATCTTCATTTTTTGCAAGCAAGGTTGTGTCATCTGCATATCTCAGGTTGTTAATGAGTCTTCCTCCAATCTTGACCACGTTCTTCTTCATACAGTCCAGCTTCTTGGGTCATTTAGTCAGTGTACAGATTAAATAAGTATGGTGAATGGATACAACCCTGAAGTGCACCCTTCCTGATTTTAAACCATGCAGTATCTCCTTGTTCTCTGCAAATAATAGCCGGGTCTATGTACAGGTTCCTCATGAGCACAATTAAGTGTTCTGGAATTCCCATTCTTTGTAATGTTTTCCATAATTTGTTATGATCCACACAGTCAAATAC